TTGTTGGAGTGGTCAGATTAGAGAGAAGCGGACAGGTCTGCGATGGCACCCGTCTATGCTTACGATGACCGCGTATAGCTTTGACAAACGCATTGCGCACGATAGCTAGTGCTTCAGAATATTTTGTTCAAGTTTGAGCAAGCATAAAGAGGGCAATCATTCAAGAAGTCGCGTATGAGCTTCCTTTCAAAGCCTGTTGGTGGGATCACAAAAACTGAAAGACGACCTTTACAAATCTATATGTAGCAATCAGTAACAGTGGCGATCCCTGGTTGAATTTAAGAAAATAGATCATTTCAACTATTCACATGTAAAGGAAAAGTCGCTATCCTGGAACGCTATCTTAGGGCCGCTTGCATTAACATCCGCGCCGGGAAGGGATCGCAGTTTGAAAGAAAGCTTCATGTCCTGAAGCCCCAGATACAATACCACTCCTAATTTGTGAAAAAAAAATTGGCGGCGGCACTTAACTCACGCGATGCCGCCGCAGTTAGGCGGCAAGCGTCGCGTCGCGCGACAAAGTTAGGCGGAATAACGGCGGCGGGCGCCTAACTTTGTCGCGTGACGCCTAACTTTTTTAGAAAAAGGACGTTATCTCAATTCAAAATTTATGAATTCTATATTTAAGAGTACCATTCAACTCAACTCGGCGAGGCGCATCTTTCAGTATATAGATGTGCCTAGTCGTGGGATATAGGTTTTGTTCTTGGAATTTTAGAGTAAACTAGCTGGCTTACCCGGCTCCGCCGTATGTCCCGAATAGAAAAATGCACGATTTTAAAAACTAATATTGTATTCGGAATCCCCATGCTCACTTACCCCCCTGTGCCAACTCCCAGCCCCGTAGCTCAAATTTTGCAAAAAATCGATAAAATCGATATCGATCGATACGAAAAGTAGCCTATGACACCCACCGGGGCCCGAAGTGTATGTGTGCCAAGTTTGGTCCCGATCGGTTCAGAAATGGAATTTTCTATTCGGAACATACGTACAGACAGACAGACAGACATACAGACAGACATACAGACAGACATACAGACAGACAAACAGACATTCAGCTTTATATATAAGATGGATCATTCAGAGTGCTGATTCCAGAGGCTACATACACATTCTGTTGAGCACTGCAGAAACAGGGCAGGTATAGCAGGGGCTAAGAGCTCATTGCCTCAGACTCCACTCTACAGAAATCGCCGAGTTACGAGCCTACGAAAACACATCCTCATGAATTTTGCCCAAAATGTAAAGATCGCATATTTCGTCGAAATTCCACCGTAAGTGCTTATACAACAGGTTGATCAAATCTTCTCACATACTTAATGGATCTTATTGTGTTAGATCAGGTAGTTTGAGTTCTAGCCACCGAAATAGCTTTGATATTCAATTCAATACGCACTTTCGTTATGCAGTTACAGTCACCTACCGTATCTCACCAAAAAGACCCTGTAATCATCAAAGACCTTAATTTTCGTAAAGAGCGTGTTCGAAAACCTGTGCGAAGTTTCCTTACAATTCAGGAGCATCAACATTTTGACCAAATCCATCTGCGAGCTTCCAGAACGTAAAACGAGAAATAATGAAATAACCCGAACATCTCGGAAAACTTGCTCATAAGGGTTATCCGACCTGCTGATTACGAAAATCACATCTGCTTAGCAAGATAGCTTCGTATTCTAGGGCTATGGCGAGTGGAATTTGGGACGACAAGATTTTTCCAGAGTTCACCAGCTCTATCTCCTTTGGAAAGAAGTATGCGGCTTATTCTTAGCGCCCCATAATTTACAGAAGAAGTACTATCGAAAAATTCTTTCTGAATCTACTGGGGGCAACACGCGCAGCTTTACACCTTTGCGAAGAGACGTCCGCAGAAAGTTCCAAGAATACTGAAATCGAGATATCAAGGACATTCTGCATACCGAAAGATTCGCCTTGATGAGCTGAACACAATGCTTTTTTCGGATTCAAAAAATATCTACTCCAAAGGAAGTTACGGCGAGTAGAATCTGAAAACGAGTGATTTTTCCAGAATTTACCAACGCTTTTTTCCCTTTTGGAAAGAAGTCTGCGGCTGCTTTTTAGCGCACTGTAATGTACAAGAAAACCACTATCGAATGGTACTTACTGGAATCTTTTATGTTGGATAGGCGCTGCGTTACATCCTTGCGAATGGACCTCCTCAGAAAAATTTGAGAAAACTGGAAACGAGATATAGATGACACGACGTGTGTCAAAAGTTTTGCCTTGACGAGCTGAACACAATGCTGCTTTCGGATTGAGGATATATTCATTCCGAAGGAAGTTATGGCGCTACGTAATTTGCGATATTCTGGAATGGCGAAATTTCTGGAATTTCGCGAAATTCCCGTTCTGTGTGTGGTATTGTACATTGCACAGCACGCGCGGCATTCCACGATATGTGCTTCGCATGCGATTTCCAGCCATTCCCCTTTGTCTTTCTGCATTTTGGGACCCGTCATACTTCGCCGAGAAAAGCCCAGTTTTACAAATATCCGTGCAGAATGAGCTCTTAGCCCCTGCTACACCTGCCCTATTTCTGCATTTCTGCTCAACAGAACGTTTATGTAGCCTCTGGAATCAGCACTTGAGTGATCCATTTACCCTAAAATTCCAAGAAAATAACCTATATCCCACGACTAGGCACATCTATATACTGGAAGATGCGCCTCGCCGAGTTGAGTTGAATGGTACTCTTAAATATAGAATTCATAAATTTTGAATTGAGATAACGTCCTTTTTCTAAAAAAGTCAGGCGTCACGCGACAAAGTTAGGCGCCCGCCGCCGTTATTCCGCCTAACTTTGTCGCGCGACGCGGCGCTTGCCGCCTAACTGCGGCGGCGCCGCGTGAGTTAAGTGCCGCCGCCAATTTTTTTCACAAATTACGAGTGGTATTGTATCTGGATAGCTGTCTGCCTATTCGTAGGTATATCTACTATTCTTCACTATAAACATATTGGACAGGAGCGAGAAGTTGTACAAGCTGCATTTCCCAGCTTTTTGTAGGATCTCCTGATGATCCCCGGCGTCTTTTTTTTCAAAGTAAACTTTCTTTCCTCGAAGTTAACGAAAACGTGCAAAAGTTTACTGGTTATCTAACCGAAAGTGCTTAGTATGTTTCTGATAAGAACAAATGATGTATTGAAGTCATGAAATTTGCGATGAGCCACAAAATGTCGGGCTTGATCGAAATATTTCAATAAATCATTTTTTCCTATCACTTACATGTCTAGCGCTGTTTGGTTGAATAATCAGTACAATTTTGGAATGTTTTCGTTGAGTTCTGGGAATGAAAAATTACTTCGAAGAAAAGGCGATTGACCGCCGCGGATCATCAGGGATCATTATACGAGAAGCTGAAAATGCGGCTTGTACAACATCTCGCTTCTGTTCAACAAGTTTATGGTAGAGGGTAGTAGAAACGCTTGCGGATAGTTAGACCGCATGATCCAGAACATTAAAGCTTTAGGATACAAAGACTTCTTTTGAGCTGTGTTTCTCTCCGCAGCGGAGATGTTATTGCCAGCGACCTTCAGTCGGTAAGTTAACTTTGAAAGTTCATTCTCGGGGAACTCCCCCCCCCCCCTCGGCTTCCCCTCGGTCTCAGTACCCCTGTTACCTCTGCCACTTTCGTAAAATAGCACCGATAAGGTCTTAGGCCTAAGGCATACCTCGCGCGATTCCGGTCGCTGCGCGATTTGGCACAACAGCGACTCTTCGTAATTCGTCGTTAATGTGCTGTCTTTGGTCAGAACTTGCTCCATTTGCAACAACTTACACAAGCTACCCAAATGTGCATTCGAGAAGCGCGCACGATAAATTTGTAGAAATCTGGCAAATCGCCAAGTCTCGTGAGAGTGGCGATTCGGCCGAATCGCTCGAGGTATGCCTTAGGCCTTAAGGACTTGGAGACATTTTTTTACAAGGCTTATTTGAGATTTTAAAAAATTTCAAATATTATATTAGTTGTTTACAAGAATAAACAAGAAGTCACTTGCATATTTTTTGTAACCCATGTAAGTGGATTTCAAAATTTCGCGACCCATTCTCGGTGGTGGGGGGGGGGGCTCGGTTTGCCACTGGTATACATAGGGTTCCCTTGCATTCAATGTTTGATCATCGATAACTCTCTCGCAGCAGCTTTCGCTGACTTTTCGTACCATGTTGTAGGGCTGGCCACAACAAGTTGCATTGAATGAGTCTTTTATTTCTTTTGATACGTGGAAAAATGGTAAGAACATTTGGCATAGTGGTGGCCCTGCAATTTGACTGCCATTTCAAAAACTCTGCATATTAATGAAACTTTTCGTAGAGTTTTTATATCCTCCGATTTGAGAAAATAATTTCTACACATTTGTAAAACAGTATAGATGATGGAATCATATTTTCATGGTTATCGGTATACTGCCTTTATGGTATACCTAACGTAAATTTTGAACCAGAGGTTACAGTATGCAAGTTCAGTAGTAAAGTTTCCGGCTCTTTGGACAGTTTTGTTGGGACAACTTAATTGGAGCTCCAAAAGTTTCTATCAAAGAAGTTGGATATATTGTAGGTCGGCAACCATCTCTACACTATTACCTAACGAAAGCTATTTGGACAAAGGGATTATCAACGCGCAAACATTCGTTACATCTTTTTTGGGACCCTCTGTACGCGCACTACTGTAGAATATTTTTGATGGAAATGTACGATAAAAACTAGCCTGCCGCATACAAGTCTGCAACTCTCATGCGTCAAATTCCTAGGAATTCCTACTGGATAACTACTGTGCACCACATCACACCTTCAACCTCACTGAGCTGCCTACAACCATCTTTCATTTTGCAATGCTATGAAACACCGTGAAATTTGGAAAATTTGAGTTTTTTCTTGAATTTTGGCAGGGACTTGAGGGAAGTAATTGTTCTCGAAGTGAGTGTTATCAGGAACATGAGCTTAGGAAACTCGACGAGAAGATTGTGAGAAAACATGTACAACAAACCTTGTTGAGACTGCTGGATTGGCTGAAAGCTTTACCACACACTGTACACAGATGCGGCCGGTGATTTTCGTGAACATGCAATATGTGAATTCGTAAACGGTCCCTTTTCTCGAAGGATCTGAACAGAGATGCTGAGCCCTCGATATCAACGCATTGTATAAGTAGTTCGAGCTATAAAGTGAGCATAATGTAACACCTGCACCGAGATGTGTGTCGATGTTGAAGGTGTGAATAATTTCAATGGTACTTAGAGCCAACAAATATTTTGCGTCCTGAAGTGGATACACAACCTTTGTCGCGGGGGTAAAGAAAGCGATATGTTGGCACCCTTCAAATTATTCAAGCCAGTTGCGCGATCAGCCACTCAGTGGAACACTAGAGTATGTACTTCACAGTTTGCAAACGACCACGTTACGACACAGACCTCAGTGTGCAGCGTTTGAGTCACGGCAATAGGTTACCTCGGGCAGATTGGGCACGGGTACTTCCTGTCGCCGTTGTCGACGCATCTAGTGTACTTGAGGTGTTTATCGCGATAGTACGAGTAACTAAACACTTTGCCGCAACGATCGCACGAAAATCCGGCGGCATCTGAACATGTGAAACCCGTAATCACTTCGTACCTCTCTTTACAAGCCATTTTCGGTGTTAGGCAGAGGTCAGGCCACATGACTACTCGGGCTTAATGCACATGCACGGTCGTCTTGTTTGTGTTCCGACGGCATTTCAGCGCGAAATTAGATGTTTAATGAGCTTCTCGCTGTGTATAGCCCACTGGATTACTACCGCTATTGAGCCTTCCTATACGGTAACAGAAGCTCTTTATCTGACGAGCGGAAATGTCGCGAAGTGGTCTCACGAACATTTATCATTATCTCAGCAGTACTAGAGAATGTCAGCGATTCTGAAGCTATGTGAAATACCTGCACAATATTTCGAATCTAGCGAGAGATCAACTGGCTCTCTCTTCTCGACTTCGCTGGCTGCTATGGAGGACACCACTGATTTCAGTATTACTTCGTCACCCCACCGTATCGGTCGTACGACTAAGTTGCCTTCTAAGTTCGCATGTGACTGGTCTTCGCGGATCAGACTTTTCCATGACTTAGGTATCTAAAATCCTTACATCGAATTGTGCCTTACGGAAGTAAATCGGCCTTACCTCTATGCAGGATCCCTTATCAAACCCTTCTTCTTTGGTACAAAGGACAACCGCATACCTCGTCGTTCCGGACTGTAGTGATATGAACATAAGACCAGGAACCCTGGCTCTATACTCCGATGAAGATGTGGACTCTGAAAATACTTGAAAATACATGCAACACAATTTCCCTGAATCTTGATGTTAAAGTCGGACGGTCTTCATCATATCTCGAAGCAGTTTTTATTAATACTGAAAAAATTTCGGGCGAAATATTGTAATTTGGTTGGGTCTACAGCTTTCTTCATAGGCGCGACAGGTGCCAGAGCGTTGTGGACTTTACTTGTCAATATATAGGGTATTTTGAAGATGTACAGCGAAAGACTGAGGAAGCAGGATTAGTTCTTTACGACAAACGTCCAAAGAAATGAGCGCATGAACAGTGGCTAGAAATCAAAACAGGCATTTGAAATCCCTCCCCCCTCCACCCCCAAAAAAGAGAATATTCTGCTAAGTCTATCACTTTCCTATCTCAGAAAATGTTCTCAGATTGTGCTTTAAGAAACGATGTCAAATTGACGCCTAGTGAACATACTGTTTACGCATTCCTGCAATATTAGCTGAATTCAAGAACCGAGCAAAGGAATGAGGTAAGAGGTCGTGAAATTAAGACCCCAAATGCTGTTGAATGCCATGATTTACACTTCAAAAGATAAAGTTGTCTAGCTTTGATTTGTCCCAGTTTCTCATAATCAGAATGGATTCAAAATAAAGTGTTGTTCATGAAAAAGGATATTCAACTGCTCAAGAACTGCACCTTCCACTTTTCAGACAAGATATTTTAAGTGAGTTATTCAGCGAGAGTTTCGAGTTGAAAACTAAGGCCTCGCCGTTATTTAAAAGAGTCAAATGCAGACAAAGCTTCAAAAATAGGTATTCTAGCTCACGTTGCAGCAAATAGGGAGCGTAGTATTTATTAGACTGCACATACTTTAGTATCATATGTTTGTACAAGTAAGCCCTAATAACAAATGAGGAAAGCATATTTGCGGATAATGTTAACTCTTTTTGTAATTTTTGACACGCTTCGAGTTTTATAAAGCCATCGGTATCTATCACCAGTCGCATAATCTATTCACAAACTAGGATACTCTAAGCACCAAAAATAACGGCAATAAAACTGCGTGACTGAACTGATATGGGATTGTTAAGCTTCGGGTCTTGTAAATGACATACCGTACGACTTTGCACGCACCTGGGCTGTCGATAGGTTTCAGCTCAATTTTTCGTTTTGTTTCATGGATGAGCTCATTATTGACAGTCATTGTGACTTCTTTTGTTCCGCTGGCAGGAGTAGGCGCAAAGGTATCTGCAAACAAAAAGGTTGGCGATGTTCTTCATCCATGTGGTTTACTCTCACCTAGCGGAACAGCAGTGCGAGGGAACATAAAATGGCCCCACAGTTGGAAGGCCATTAAACTGGCTGATGGCTGCTGAAGAATACTGAGTTCATTTCTCACAGGGAACATGAGGAATTACTAGTCTGACAAATGAAATGCAAAGGGGAGGGACGTCAGCGTTACCGTAACCTTGCACTGAAAGGAGGCGTGACGAAGCCTCCACGAGGGAATACAGAGCCTGGTTCGATACTCAGCGCTCTGATCTAGTTATTGCAACGTATTGGCGTTATAAACCGAGTTCACCCGCGGTAATTTTGATAGTCGTTACTCTAGTATATTGCAAAAACTATCAACTCACGCGGATCAAGTAATAGTATGTCCATGAACAATTATGTGCTTCACTACACTAGCGCTCCCATCGCATTTCCAAACGAAAATAATGGCAACTTAATTCAATTGATGCGTGCATGTAATTAACGAGATGTCGCTAGGAATACCAAAAGCGTAGGCTACGACGCAGTCGCGACCGTTACCGCTAAAGTTGAGTTTGTTGTTTCTACGACGGACTGCGGAAGTAGATGAGATAGTACAGCTTTCATAACTTTTCTCATTTTTTGCGTTATAGTATTAGGAAACTGGATGTACGCACTGCGGGGTGGTAAGCATAATACAGCTGGAGTTCTGTATCTCTTAGGCGGGGTTTGCACAATATGAACTCTTTCTATCTCACAGATTCCTCATAAAACCTGCGATTTATCTTTATTCAACCCTTCTTACCCATCAAGCGCTGTTCACTTTCCAAACATTTAGAAGCCACCAACCCTCCACACTTCCATGTAGCAGAGAAACGTTACATCAGCAAACTCCAAAAATGTATGTGCAACAGCTTGCAGTGGATGTGCAGAAAGAGCCAAGACATCTTTAGGAGAAATACAATCAAATCGCTGGATCCTGTCTTCTGGAAACGAATAGACAGTTCAAATGATAGTCATCGTCTTTAGGACTTTTTCTGTACTCATTTTCTGCTTACTTCCGAATTCGTCCTAGAATTACTGAATGTTCATTATGATTACGAAAGTGTTGCATGAGGTTGTCGCAGTCAATTTTGGTAACATGAACATTTTTTTTTGAATTTACAAGTTTGCAACAAATTACTCCTAAATGATTGTAATTATGATTAGACTGCTGCATGTCTATGGAAATTCAAAAGTAGCAAAACGCGCAAAAGCTCCATAAACCATGGGTCGGTCGGTCGAGATTTCCTCCACTCGTGAGTATGTTGCCCGCTGCTTTAGAAAGTGTTTGAGTGCAAATGAGCCATTAGTAACAGCAAAAAAATGATCGCAAGTCATCAGAGAGTCAGGTACCACTCATATATCGATTTAGAATGACAAAGCCAACAGAATAATTTCATGTCAGAATTCTGTTTAAGGTACGAGAGCAAAAGTGATAATCAAAAGATTCAGTGTCTTGATGATACGAAGATTTTCAGAGGGTGTGATGATTATAGCAGTAGTAATACTGAAGCTTAATGATGTTGCCTGACGAAGGCGCAGAAGCAGTGTTAACTAAGCATGCTGCGCGCGCGTATCTTTACCGTTGTAAATCTTGCGCCCTCATGCGCTCTGCGGCTAATGAGAAACCGCGTTCTCCCCCGAAGATAATGCGCCTTCGTCATTCAGCGGCCTATACGGTGTCTTTACCCCTCAATGAGTAATCAGTTCATTTCTAATTGTTCATGAGTATGCAGCTTTGTATTTCACGGTGCCCAGGAAACAAAGCGAATAGCTTGGTTCTAGTGAATGAGAGAAGAAAGATAAATTTTATGACCATGAGTTTGCTATGAACCATCATCGCCGTGCATACTGCTCCGAAGATCAAAAGTAGCAGATAATATGAGTGTCAGTCATCTGTAGCTGGTACCAACCTTTAGCAAACCCCAGCTAAGGATGCCTTCATATCGCGCCGACAGCCGCCGCTAGCAGCTCTTGCTACGCTGCTGCATACGCCCCTACACTTTCCACCTTCCACGCTTTTCCTTCCTATTGCCGCTATGCAGTTTGAGCTCCTATACCATTGTGTACATTGTTGTCACTACCTTGTTCCGTACATTGCATATCCTATTCCTATCGGTACCCTCATTTCACTTTTGCAATCTGTTTTGTCTAAAACGATTGTGAGCGATTGGATTACTCCTCCGAATGCGCTTGAACTCTTTTTTTCCCATGCTTTGCTTTTTCGACTAGAGACTAGAGATAAAAACCAAGAAAATGGGTTTCCGGAAGTGGGGAGCAGTCGCGCCATCGTCACGATTTTTCAATATGCCCTGTACAGATCATCGAGGGGGGGGGGTCATTACTTGTGGGTGTCAATTAGGAACTGCCCGACGCGGTGTTACAGTAACTTGGGTGAGAGGCAGCCGGGCCAGACAAAAATCCCAGAGTAAATGTTTAGGAGTCAAATTATCATACCGAACAAAAAGTTTACACTCCTTGACCAGAAACATGGTAATTTCCACACTTCCTTTCATTATCTTACCTTTTCCTACAAGTTTTGTGCCAAACATTCATCAAACAATAGAAACTGGTGTAGTATTAAAACCTCTATAAAGAAGGAACAGTATGGCTTTGCAAGTCGACTGACCGAGTTTTTCGCGCATCTGAGCCTCTCGCGCGCGGCGACTGCGTGACTGACAGTCACAAGTAATGGGATACTTCCCACATCACCTATTCTCAGACCAAGAGACTCCAAGCCACTTTGCACATAATGTCTGAACAAAGTTAAACTTGTTCTTTCCTGGTTCTAATGAGTGAGTGATGCTTGATGGGATGATGGATTTGGACACGATGCATGAGATCGAACGCAATGACGGCAACAAGAAGGAAGAAGCGTGGAAGATGAAAAGCGTGGACGGGATTACTCAAATTACCCGAATTTCACGCGTATAATAATTTTTTGAGCTGGGATTCTGTTTCGCCTCTGCCCCTAGACGCGGGAGATTTTTCTCCAAAATCGACCAAAATCGACCAGCCCGGACACGCCAAGGGGCTTTACAACCAAGAGACCCTATCACGTGCTGTATATTGCTTGAGAGAATTGTGCGGTATAAAGATCTCTTTCCGGAATACAGTGAAGCGGCTGAGCGGCTGGCTTGAAAAATCGAGAAAGTGCGCCTTATACGCGTGAATTTAGGGTAGTAAGAATCTAATGATTTTGCTCTCCTATGATAACAAAAGTGGCCAGCGGCTGCTACGGGCTGCTACGTTCTGCTAGCAGCTGCATGAAGGCATCCCAATGCTTTATCAGGAAATTGGTCGCATGGATCAAGTTTGTCATGAATCCGCGCTTTTGTAATAGCGCCTACTTCCATATCTGCGACCTCCTCTTCCCTTCATTCCTCTGCTGTTGTAATAATTATAGATGGCACATTGAGGCAAATCTGGCAAGCTTTTCGTGATGCCCGTCCGTTCAACGGCCAAATTGCCGGTCCCCCCCCCCTCTTCAAGCATGGAGTCGTGGTAAGATCTTCACCTTGGAGACAGTGTTTGGGCAAGTCTTCGTTCTTTGGGATTTTTGTTTAGATAAGCTCAGTCAGCTATCAAAAGTATGTGCCAATAAGAAATAAACAAGTTGTGACCAATTATCTCGACCACTTTTGAGATTTGAACAAAGCCAAATCTGACGGCTCCTCAACCTTGAGGAAATGTGGAATGATTATGCTTATATCTTTCTTTATACTTATCATCAACAAGGGGAAGTATCACGAATCTGGCTAGCGAGTATCAAGCTAAATGGAGGAACAATGTTGGCGCTCAGTGGCTTTTCAACATACAGACCCATACCCCTCCTCTGTCCGATAAAGATTCTCGATCAAGTCATTGACACGCGCATCCGGGATATCGTGGAAGTCACTCCGAATCAATGCGGTTAAGGGTACCATCAACGCCTTCCGTGGTGTAGGATTGCCATTGTAACGCCACCTGAAGGAGGATATTCATATTCAATTGCCTTTCTAAATTTGGACTGCTTTTCAGAAATCCAGCTAACGCACCCGTGCACGCTCCCATCGGATGATGTCGAGTTTGCAAGCGAAATGAGGAAGGGGCTCGAAAAGGCAGTTGAGATGGAGACCGCGTCTATTTGCGTATGAATTGCGAATAACTGCCGGAGAGGCTGGGTACCTGGAACGGGGGGGAGCTAACCCTGAACAACCACCATCGACGGACAGCCATCAAAAGTTGCATGAGGTCAGGTCACTTTGGCTATATAAGTGAGGCTGAGGCACAGTTTGGCATAAGTTGTTCTGTTTTCAACTACCGCTTGTGCTACGTCTAAGGTTAGTAAAAAGTGTTTTTGGCTCTGATTCTGCTCTTTAGACTAATCTTCTTTTCGATTTGGTTCGACTTTGTTCTTGACGTCTGACTGCATAGTCACTTATGATCTCGACTTTCCAGGCTCCGAAGAAGGCGTTGAATGCCGAAACGTCGACGCCAGCCAACAAAGCATTTTTACTAATCTTGGCTCGAAATCTACTTGTACAAGTGATTATCATGCCAAGATTCAAGCACAACCGAACAATGCCGATATTGAGAGATGTACCAGCGATTTGTGTTCGGCTGGTAAGAGAGGTCTTTTTTTTTGAGACAAAAGATCGTCTCAGATATACAGACCATCCACTTCCTCTACCGCTGCCATCAACATCAAGTCGTACCAAACTTCATTGCATCGAAGCGACTATACGAAGTATGCGGTTTCTCCAAAGGATGTCAACAGATCCACCACATTGAGCAACGCCTACTATACACTGCTCTCCGAGCGAAGAAAGATCATGTGTTCTCGTTACTGTTGAAGTGCAACTACAAGGAGCAGTGTTGTGAACGACTTTTGCCCGAACGCCTTTGGAGGAGGATAGTGAGTGAGTCGAAGCTCATTCGTAATCTTATATGGTCTGATGCCAGAACTAAGTTGCTTAGTAAATTCGAGATACTGGTTAGTAAGAGGCAGGATCAGTGTTCTCGAATACCTAGTACGAACCTTAGAGCCGAAAATCGACTGCACTGAGGAAAACCATTCCGTTGCGCCTAGTGGCTCACGTGTGTCTGTTATTGGTGACGCAATCATTTCCAATG